AAGTTTCAAATCAAGAGTGTTGTATGGGTACACACACAGAAGCTTATGCTGCCAGCAATAACGGGCACTGTTACAAAAGCAGATTAACCATCTTTCAGTCAATGTCTGCAAAAACATGGTGTACAGAGGCCTGCCCAATAAGTGCTTCCCTGCAGCTGAGGACTGTGCACAGGAGCATGGCAGCTCAGTTTCTCTTCAGTCATAAGGAAAAGCCATGTGCCGTGGAAGCTCAAGTCAACTGCCATCCAAGTGGAGCCTCCTGAACCTCCGGGTGGATGGGTAGAACAACCACGAAGCCAGGACCCCATGTCATTTCTAGAACAATTCCTGCGAGTTCAAGGGCATCAGTTATGACTTTATGACTAATAGAACCACTGCATTTGTCAGAGTAATAAAAACCAAACCAACAAAAGCACTGTAGTGTCAGTCTCCAATGCTATTTGATTTGATAGGGAATAGTGTGGCATGGCCAAACAAGGGCAGGCAAAACAGCATCATGCTGAAACACAACAGCACTGCCCAGGCACCCTGTTCCCAATGCTAGCACCACGACTATGCTGGCCACGTCCACCCTCCTGGGATGGCTGTATTGCAGAGCTCTGTCTTCCTCAGTGGGCAGCAGCACTGACCAAATGCCACAGCTGACCACCCGAGGAACCTCTCCCCACACCATATCCCCACAATGCAGCAGCTCTCCTGCTTGTGCAATTTTAAAAGTTAGCGTCTTCACACACTGTCCCCTGTGGACCTCCATATGCTTTACAGAGGCAGCAAGTGGCGATGTCCCCAACACATACAGCCAGGTCATAGTCCGTCTCTTGCAACTGCAGATAACACGGTCCGAACAGTCACCACTCCTGCTCAGTGAGCTGCATTCAGCAGCTGTTTAAGTGAAGCCAATTTACTTGGCAGACAAGAAGCTCCCAGATTAACCCGGATCAACTCCGGGTGCTGAGAAACAGTAACAAGCAGCTAGCGGGTGGATCTCAGAAACACGCGCCTCTTCACTGGCGATCAGAATATGCCTGAAGCTGCAGAGAAGTGATGGCACTCATCCAGCATTGTGTCAGAGATGGACATGGGACAGAACCAGAGTGGCTACAGTCCCTTCTCCTCTTAGATCACTTCACTTTTTAGTGCCTCATTTAGAAATTTTACAGTGCAGGAAAGCATACACATTATATAAGCGCTAATTATATGGTGTAAAGGGTTCCTACTTCAGATTTAAGGAGAGCATTAATACATTATTCATTACTTCAACTTTTACTCTTTGCTATTTGGATCATTGCTGTGATTTTTGTAGCACCCCCTTTCCTCCCCATTTAGTCAAATAGTTCCTTCCTATAATTTTGATTACAATTTGCAAACACTGGTTTGTGGAGGATTAACTATGGTGGTGGAGGCAAAAGAAAAATCCAGCAGATGACCCAGTGCTAGTTTAGAAGCACAGGACAGTAACAGGAAGTGTCACAGTCTTCTTCTCAGCAAGACTCTCTTAAGCAGCAGAAGTCTTAGGCTGTTTCTTTCTCAAAGGGGCATCAAATAAATCCCCAAACACTGAACACCTACAGCTTAATCTTCAATGGCCATATGCTATTTAAAAAATAAATAAAAATAAGTAAAAACTCAAACCAGAAGCAGAACACCTAAGAAATCACACAGACTGGAAAGACGGAAAGGGTCATTAATTTCATTACAGAGCTCTCATGAAACACTGATGCCTGCAAACTGTCACAACTGTCACACTGCACAGCCAGCATGTAGGTACATAACCACTTACTATAGAAAGCTGTAGAAATGACCATTACATAAATTCCAGAGGGCTGTGTCTATGGAGGAATTTTATTTAACCAGCCTGCTACTACCTCTAAGCAAAATAAAAAAGATTTAAGGTCTAAAGCAAGGAGGACTTGTCATATCTGACTCACGAGAAGCATAATAGGGGAAAATAAACATGATTCTGCTGCGTCAGCTCTGTCACCAAAGGTCTTCCTTTAGAGAGGGCACAGGTAAACTTAAAAGCAAAACTCCAAATCCTTCTAAATTTAAAAGGATGTGAGCTTGTTGGGGATTTAAAAAAAAACCAAAATAATCTTTTTAAGGCTTTTCAAAGAGCCACGGAAAGGAGATTTTGTTAAATACATGATTCTCACCATCTTCTTATTTGTGCTATGCAGCGTAGGGCAAAGATTTAAGGCGCTTTGCCTGTGAGTGGATGCAGCTTGACACGAGCTGCAGCAGTGTGCCTTCCCTGAACTGAAGTAACCCTGCACAGGCAGGGATCCAGCCAGACATCTTAGGGGTTACTAGGATTCATATTTAAAGAGGAGAAACACTGACTCTCTCTCTCACTAATAAAAATAAAAATTGCCAAAGGCAGATGCCTCTGTGTGCTTAAATTCAGTTTGGACAATATGTGGTTGGGATTGCATTGTCACAGGATTTAATAAGAGGAAGTTCTCTTATCTCCTTTGGTTAAGCAAAAAAAACCATGTCTTTTTTTGCTTTACAGAGAAAAGAGGAAAACAGCACACACACCACACAGCCTCTGTACTGGTGTAAGGAGCAGGAAAAAAAAAGTTACTGATTTTTGCAAGTCTTAGCAGTATCAGAAAGGTTAATAGAGTTCACTGAAGTTCTAATAGTGCATAACTCTAGCATATCTGCACAAAAAGGTGATTTCATTTGTTTTCTTGTTTATTGCTCCACGGGGCAGGCCTCAGAAAAGAGAAGGGGTTTGGAGGCAGATGCCATTGACTAATTCCCCTTGCCATTCACCTTGGCTAAGCAGAATAGTTTTATGTAGCTGTGCAGCAAAAGTAAAGTACTGAAGCTTCCAGACACAGCACCACATTAATCACTTTGACCAGGTGGCCAGGATACCCAGCGAGAAGGAAAGCCTCCACACTTTCTCCTAATGAAAGGGAGTCAATGGAACAGCATCTCAGAAGGCACCTGTCTCCCCACTGGGCTGGCTGCTCTCACACATGATGCCAATCAGGCACCTGGGGCTTCCTGAATCTGAATCTACAACAGAACTGCCTACAGTCCCTTAGATGCTCACCAGTCTTCCACTAGTTTAAGCAATAAAATACTAAGCTGAAGCAATAAAATACTAAGCAAATGACAACAAATCACACCCCCTCCCCCAATACCTGAAACCTCAACACTCAGGAAAAGACTGGCCATGTCACAGATGATGAAAAGAAAGCAGGTATGGCAGCATTCAACCACTTTACCGAAGAAAAAAGCTGAGCACAAGATTACACTTTGTCATCTCACCCCAATAAGGTCATTGTGAAGCAGCACCATCCTTGGAGAAAGGGGCTTGAGGAAAGAAAAAGTGATTCCTAATGGAGCAGACAGGTAGGATGGGTCTCTGGGTGACACCACAGGTCAACATCAACATCTTACTGAGTCCACAGGATACCCAGTGAGGCCATGACAGCAAGCTCGGGTGGTCCCACTTGGGACAGTGCCACATATACAAATGACCATGTAGTGACACAGGAGGATGAGGAAAACAGCAGTACACTTGAGGAGGAAAGGCTTCAAACAAGAAGAGGCTGCATTCATGTCTTCCTCTTCTAGGAGAGCATAGTGAGGAGACGACAACATATGTAACACCTCATGATGCAAGCACAGAATAAAATGCTAAGGACAGCTTTCCCAGAAAAGAAGGACAGAAGAAGGGAGTAGAAAGGAAAATTTGAAAATGTCCTTCTCCTCTTCAGAGAAAAGCAGAAATAGTTCAGGCAAAAAAACTACAGAATTTAGTAGTCAGAATGGACAGAAAAAGAGGCTGAGCAATCACTGGAGGAGATCCTCAGCAGCGATGTTCCTCCTTTCTCTGCCAAGGGAGGGTCTTGGGCTGGATTGCAGAATGCTGCTCTCTTCCCAGAGCCCCAAAGAGCAGAGTGAGGATCACCAAAAACTTTGCACCAGCTGAAGTCTGCAGACCATGCAAGAGGAGTGGGCACACACAGGCATGAGCAGCTAATGGCACAACTTCTGCCTATACAAAGAAAACCAGGTTATTGGATAGCAGCTGCTACTTCATGAAATACAAAGACAACTCAGCTTGTAAGAAGCCATTGCCCCTGTGCATACACAGTAACAACGGTGGAGTTTCTGCTCAGTCATAAAGCACTCAAGAAAATGCCCATTGCCCTGACACACAGCAAGAAAGCCAGAGCTGGAGAGACAACCTGTTCTGATGAGCAAGCAGGGGACATGTGTACATGCACAGACGCAAAGACAGCATGCAAAGCGAGTTTGGTAACACCAAGAGGTGAGCCAACATTTTGTTGGGATCAATCTGCTCCCTGCCACCCCCCAGCAGGAAAACACTGCTGTCATGAATTAGTCAATGTCACCACAAACCACCTCATTGCCAGCTCTGCGCTGAAGAAATCTCACATGGCAGGCAAACCATCTGATGTCCTAAGCCAGTAGAGCCAGGGTGCTGGCCTTTTGCTTTCCTCTCTCCCCACCCCCATCCCAAAACACAATAATGCTCTGAAACCCTCTTTTAAGATGGGAAACACCCATCATGTCTACAGGATGTGAGAGGCGAAAGGGATGTGGGTTAGTTGGAGGACGTGCAGCAATGTGCCTCCAACTGCTGTGCACTTTAAGTCATACCATTGCATGACCTAAAGCTCAGAGCAGGCAGCAGCAAACCATAGAATAATATAATCATTTAGGTTGGAAAAGACCTCGAAGATCACCAGGCCCATTAACATAACACTGCCAAGTCCACCACTAAACCACATCTCTAAA